ACCTGACAACACCCTGCACCACATCACACCCAGGCATCCAGACATCTGCACCTACACCACTGATATCACTGACATACACACTTCACATTAAATAAATTAATTCAACCAATTAATAAAACTTTATGTTAAAATCTGACATCACCTGTGTCGTCTCCCCTCTTTTGCCACAACCTATTTGCTGGGTTGTGACAACGTCCTTGAAGATAATATGGCCGGTGAGAACTGGTTCACACACCAGGGGCCTCATTTATCATCAGTGCGTAGAAAAGGTTCTAAATTCTGTCGTATGAATGAAATTTAGAGTGTGCGTAAGTACAAAAAAATCTGTATTTATCAAACGTGCATACGGTGTCGTACGCACATCAGTGTTGATAAATCCCACTTATCCTCCGTGCTCGTGCACGTTGCCTTCAGGAACACCTCCAAATCCCCATATAGGGCAACAACACGCCTCTTTATAAAGCAAGTGAAGATTTATTTTTTCCCCAAATACTTTCTATTTGTAGTTTCACTGTTCTACCGCTAGATTATGTGCGTACAGAGTCAGAGGTGTGCGTATATTTACGCACAGTCCTAAGTATAAGTACAAGTTGATAAATTCCATTCTTTGCGTAGGAATGTTCGTATGCACGCTCTACGCACATATCTGTGCGTACGCACTGATGATAAATGAGGCCCCAGGAGACAGCGGAAACTCCCCTAACAGTGTAACAGTCCTAACTGATAGAAAGTTAGGACTGTTACACGCTGTACCAGCAACATCCACACATGTTGCTTACCAAATTTCAAGGACGTGGACAGAGCGAGGTATGCCTGTCCACGTCATTCGTAACTGGCCCATAAAACTCAGTTGTGTACTAGTGCAATCTCTGTACGGGGCAGTCCCAGCCCAAGAAGATAAATGTGAATTTCCAGATATTGGGGTTCCGTCTGATAGAGCTCTCGCGAGAGCCCCGTCGCTCCGAGCCCAGCGCTGCCTCACTTTACCTGTGACTGTCATGACCCCCCAGCCTCAGCCCCAGCCCTTGCCTGTCTCCCTCTTTTTCTCCTTCTATTCTCCTTCCTCTCTCTCTGTCTCTGTCTGTCTCTCGCTCTCTGTCTCTCTCCCTCTCTGCCCCGATGCATCTCAGCACTAATCAAGGACTGTCACCCACAGCTGCAACTCCGGACTCACCTGCCCACAATCGCCACAGCTCCCATTAAAGACTGTTCTTTCCACCACAAGCTGTGAGACCATAGCCATTCCTCCTGCATGTTTCTGCCAGTCCCTGTGCTGTCTCCAGCCTACATTTCCCCCAGCCAGCTTTCTCCACCTGTTCCAGCCTGGATTCCCCAAGCCCCTTGGTTTTGTCCTCTTCTGTGAGTATCCTTGTTTGATTGAGTAGCTTTGTTTTGTATTTTAGAATTTGTTAGTTTTTTTTCTCCTCTGATCTTTATATAGTTTTTTAGGTTTTTGTAGTTTCACCCCCCTCATAATTCAGCTTGGTTTTCCTGTTCTGTTTTTTTCCCCCCTCAGTTTAGTTTCTGCACCTCAGTTTAAATTCAGTTCTTATCCTTGTTGAATAAATCTTTGTTTCCACCTCGCCTGCCTGCTCGATCCGTGTCTGCTCCTGGGTTCCCTGATTCCCCCATTGTGACAGTGACCTAAATAAATTCATCTGTGAACTGAAGATTTCTCCGTTTGTTCTTGGGCTTTAAACTAAAGAATCAACAATTTTGGTGCCGTGACCCGGATTGGTTGACTTGGAGACTGCGTTCGATTGAGGACCGCCGGAGTTGATTGGTGGTGACACTTTTCAGACAATTCTAGGGGCCTAAATCAAAAAGTTGAGCAGAAAACCTCTTCTACTTGAAATTTCTGCACATTGGGCACACTGAAAGAAATTGTCTGAATGAAATTAATCTCTGATCACTGAAAGCATTGTGATTTTCTTTTGGGGAACGATTTTTTATTTATTTATTTATTTTTTTAAAACTTAAATGGTCACATGTAGCATGTAAAACAGTCTCACCTGAGGGAAGTCAGTAAGTGTCCTAGTTAGTTTAATTGGCCATTTATAAAAAGCTTAGACTCCCACAAGTGAGATTTTTGTGAAAAGGTATTTCAGACAGTAGTCTGAAAAGGTATTCCACCACAATTAGGTGAAGACTTGAGTATTTTTATAAGAAGAGCCGAAAAATAATTTAATAAATACCAGTACAATTGTGAAGATAAATCTTTAAGGACACAAGTGTGTTGTTTTTCATAGGAACACTGGGATAAGTTTGTTTTTCATCCAAATGTTACAATTGGCTATATTTTGAGCTATCATTAATTCTGAATCTGTAATTCTCCACTGGTGAACCTATGATCCTGTTTTGCTTTTTTCTACTGAGCACAATTCATGTCCTTGAAGATAACATAGCTGGTGAGAAGTGGTTCACATACTGGGACACAGTGGAAACTCTTTTCTATCAGTTGCTTTAGATACATGCGTTTTGGACAACACACACTTTGTGTTTGATCCAAGCAGTTTCTGTTTACATTTCAGTGAACACTGGTTAGCTTTTTCACATCACAGTAACTGGCCAATTAACTTCAGTTGCACACAAGTCCAACTTCTGTTCGGGGCAGTCCCAGCCCAAGAAGATATCTGTAACCTGAACCCAGAAAAACTCAGTTCAGCTGGACATGAGATTACTCTGTCTGCCTGAACCCAGCGCTGCCTCACCTGTGATCTAAATAAATTCTACATCTGAGAACTAAAGATTTCTCCGGGTGTTCTTGGGCTTGCAATTAAAGAATTGGGTTAACAATGCACAGCTGGTGTCTGAGATGCTTGTGTGTCATAACTCTGAAGCTGCAGTGGCTTGTAAGATTCCTACAGTGTCTCTGCAGCTGAATCAATACAGCAAGAACACCGTCTGCATCTTCAACTATCTCCAGCTGTGTTCATTTACATGCAGCTAATGGCATCTGCATCCATCATTCTGAGCATCTGATCAATTCAAGGTCTTTCTTAAACCATAACAGAAGATCATGGTGATAAGCTCCACAGATATGAAATGCTCATTCTGTAGCCAGTGGAATATGGCAAAGATACTGTGTCCCTGCAGTTCTTCATTTTGATGCAAATGTGAGGCAGCCTTGCGGGTTCGAATGGGGGGATGGTGACCAGGGGAAACGTAATTCTTTGTGAGGCCTGATGCAAAATCTCAACTGTTCTGAGGACTGAAAACAAAAACAGCATGAGTGCTTGCACTGGCTACGTTGGCCCCTTCAATAGATGAACCTTCTGCCACACAAAAGTGCCAAGGGGCTTTCACGGCAAACTTCCAGAATACTCTCCTCCTCATGCTGCATGGAAAGTTACAGTGTCGTCACATGCAGCCATCGCAGCTCCAGTGCTGGTGAAGCCATTGGTTGTATTATTGGACTTTTTTGGTGGACTGATGAAAGGAGTTGCCCTGTCAGCCTACTGGGAGTCCTCTGGAGCCAGTGTACATGGTGGCATGTGGCTGGGATTAGGAAATTTTACTGTGGATTAAAATCTTTCCAACGCCTCCATGGCCACTCGCTACAAGAAAGGAGTCTGAAGTTCCAGCAGCGATCCGGTGAGCACTCTGGGCCCATGGTCTCACTGAGCAGGTACGTTGAAACAAAAATTTAATTTTTCTACCTACTCAGAGTGTGCAGACTTACAGCATAGTGAGCCTCAACATACTGCACAATGCACTGATTGTAGTAAAGGATTACAGCTGCTTGGAGTAAAGAAAAATGTTTCTGATTATTATTAATCTAGCAAAATACACAAATGTCTTTTACCAACTATACTTGTGTATGTTATAGAAATACAGAGAAATAAAGGAGTTCAGCAGTAACAGTGGGTTTCTGAACCCTCAACAATTGCTAATAACTGAAAGAATACAATAGTTTATTCAACAAAAAGAATGGTGCTAACAACAATAATCTCACAGTCCTGTGAGAGTCAACTGTTATACAGAAGACAGATGTTGTTTTCAAAGTTATAAAATAGTTTTTAAACAACGGGACTTGTTAAATTTCAATCTTGAGTCTGATCAATAGTTGTTATGTAAGACTCAAAGTTGGTCACGTGGTGCATGCTGCACAGTATAAACTGGTAAATTACTGCAACTCAGATAAATGAACAATCTGTGCTTGAATGAGGCATCTTCTCATCTAATGATGAAGAAGGAAATTCTCTGCCTGTTTATCTCGAGCAGTTATTTCCCTGCAAACAAAATATCTTGACATTATAGCACTGAACTGCTGAATATTTTATTCAATTCCAGCTTTCTGTCTCGCATTGAAGTCTATTTACTCCTCACAGCTTTTTGTGCTGATGCTCAGGTTGTGTTCAGGTAAAGGATAAAGCTGGTGATAGTTCTACATTTGTGCATTTTCCTTTACAAGAAAAGATCAAAACCTACAATATGTCTGTGTCAAGTCCTTTGGTTTCTACTAAAAATGTAAATGTTTTAAAACAAATAAATATCCAATTTTATCTTAATTTTTATTTTTTTTATTTTTTTAAGAAAAGGCTCAGGAATTTGCTAAAACAGTTAGACACTGTAATTTTTTTTGTTGTTTTTTTTTGTTTTGTTTTGTTTTTACAAATTTTGCTCCAACAGAAGCAAATCGTGCATTTGCTGGGGCCTATTTTTTTTACTTGCAGTTAATATTTACAGAAGAAGGAGCCTGTATGTAGAATTTAGTCAAAATAAACTTGGCAGTGAACCTGAATGGAGCTCTGTGTCACACAGAAAACATAATCAACATAATTCATCCTTAGTTTTGATCACTTTATAATTTGGCAGTAAGAAATAGAGAATATTACAAGCTTATGCTTAACAGTAAGTGGAAACACAACTCATTAAGGAAACAGATTGTAACAACAAACCTGAGTGTGGTGAATAAAATGAAGTTAATTTATTATGCGAATTAAATGTGTGAAAATATATATATTTTTTATATTGTCTGTCTAAAGCTCAACTAGCTGTTCTATTATTCTCCAGGTGTTCTTTAAATTCAAATTGACTTTAATAGTGAGAAGAAAAAAAACTCCTGCAGAACCAGGCTTAGGGAGGGCAGTCATCTGCCTAAAATAGTTGGGGTAAGAGTAAACAGGAGAGAGCTGGTTAGCAGATGGAGAAACAACAAAAAATATATGTACTTTCCTTTTCACCCTTGTGAAAGTGTTTTTTTTCTTATTTAAACACAGAGTTACAGGATTGTTGGTGTTGTATATTGTACAGATTGTGAAACCTTTTTGGGAAAAATTTGTGATTTTGAGAGACCGTCTTGGGCTTGTTGAAGAAATTTTACTCATCATCCTCATGTGAAGCTTGCTGTAGTGGGTGTTTATTAGTATTCCGGTATACGATAACCAACACAGAGCATGAGTCTGTGAAGGTGGACCGACCCTGAACATCTGTAGGGTCACACATTTATACTGTAAGTCAGAGGGTAGGGGGGGTCTGTATGTAAATACAGAGGTGAATAGAGGCAAATTAACATACAGTTGCTAATCAAATGACCGGAGGTAAGGGGGGACAATGAACCACAGGTGGCGGAATCGGAGTCTGGTGACCAGACAGGTGGTGGAGTCGGGGTTCTGATAGTATACAGTTGCTAATCAAATGGCAGGAAGTAAGGGGACAATGAACAACAGGGGGTGGAATTGGGGGTCTGTGACAGGAGGTGGGAAAACACATGACAAAAGGTGATGGGAAAACACATGGCAACAGGGGATGGAATCAGGGGTGTGTGACCATCAAAATAAAAGAAAATGACTTTCTTCATCAGGCTGTAAGGTGTGTCGGTGGTTAGAACTATTGCCTTGCAACTAGAAGTTTGCTGGTTCGCGTCCCAGTGAGTTTGCATGTTCTCCCCGTGCATCATGGGTTCTCTCCGCATTCTCCGGCTTCCTATCAAAAACATGTTGAGGTTAACACGTAATTTTATATTGTACGTAGGTGTGAATGTGAGTGTGCTTGGTTGTCTGTCTCTAAGTGTAGCCCTGTGATAGACTGGCGACCTGTCCAGGGTGTCGTCTGCCTTTCCCCTAAATCAGCTGGGATAGGCTCCAGCCCCCCCGTGACCCTAGTGAGGATTAAGCGGTGTATAGATAATGGATGGCTAGAGACAGCGTCTTGACTTGACTGGTATGATGAGAGTCCCTTCTATAAGTTACATCTGTAAATATTGAATTACTTGTAATAACATTGTGTTTGTTCCCCCCAGCTCCAGGATGTTCCAGCTGGGTCACATCCAGCCAAATGGACACCGAAGCCACAAATCCCGCCTTGTCACCAAAGACGGGCGCTGCAACATCGAGTTTGGCAACATTGAGTACAGCAACCATTTTGCTTACCTGGTGGACTTCTGGACCACCTTCGTGGAGATCCGCTGGCGCTTCGTCCTCCTTTTGTTTGTGGCTGCATTCACAGGTAGCTGGTTCATTTTCAGCCTGCTGTGGTACTGGATTGCAAAGAGTAATGGCGATCTAACCGGACAGAACCGCACAGACGGACATGTCCAGTGCATAGACAATGTTAACGGCCTCACAACGGCGTTCCTGTACTCGCTGGAGACCCAGACTACCATTGGTTATGGTGGCAGGGCACTGACTGGGCACTGTGCTGTCACGGTGGCTCTAATTATCATCCAGTCTTTAATTGGAGTCTTCATCAACTGCTTCATGTGTGGCGTCATCTTGGCCAAGATCTCGTTACCCAAAAAAAGGGCAAAGACTGTGACCTTCAGCAACACAGCTGTCATCTGCTTGAAGAAAGGAAGTCTTTGTCTCCTGATCAGAGTGGCCAACCTCCGAAAGACCTTATTAATCGGAAGCCAGATCTACGGCAAGCTGTTGAGGACAACAACCACGCCAGATGGAGAGACTATCATCCTGGACCAGGTGGACATTGACTTTATGGTCGACGCTGGCAAGGATAACTTGTTTTTTGTTTGTCCTCTGACACTGTACCACGTCATCAACAGGTCGAGTCCGTTCTACGAGCTCTCAGTAGACACTCTACCCCTGCAGGACTTTGAGCTGGTGGTGTTTTTGGATGGGACTGCCGAGTCCACAAGCTCGTCCTGTCAGGTCCGAACCTCCTACATCCCACAGGAGATTCAGTGGGGTTTCACTTTCCTGCCTATAATCTCCCGCACCAAGACAGGAAAATACCACGTGGATTTCTCAAACTTTTCCAAAAGCGTCCGGGTCACTACGCCACACTGCATCCGTTGCTTTGAAACCGATGCAGACCAGAGAAACCACAACAAACACAACCAAGAAAATCACAAGAAGCTGGGCATCGACAACCTGGGGTTTCAAGTGATCGATATTCACGACTCAGTGGATGTCACTAAAATGTGAGATGGCAGGAAAGGAACTGTTCTCTGACTGAAAGTAAACCGCAGTGATTCAGGATGTGGGAGATGAAGCGTGCATTTGTTCCTTTGAAGCAACAATTCACTATAAGTCAGACTGTGTGCAGTGGTGAACTGCTGCAGAAATATTTGCTTGTGCTGCTTCATCCAGCTAACATTTGATTTACTCTTTTGCCTTGAACAGCAAAAACTCAAAGCTGTTAAACTGTCTGAATAAAATTCAGACATGAGCCGGAGTTAGGTTGCTCATTACAGTCAAATCTCTGTTGGGACTTTGCGTAGGTAATGCGTGCAAGACGGATTGAAGTTTTGACACATAGAAAATGAAAGGGGTAAAATAGTAGATGGCACAGTGGGTATTTCTTGAGAAGATTAGGGTCTGAGCCTGTTATAATGAAAAAGTGTGTGCTTTAATAAAGGCTGTGGGAGGAAATAAAAAGCAGGACAGGCCTTTTGAGTTTGCTCATTATTCCCACAGGGAAGTAGTCCTGGTCAAAATAAACTTTCTTCCTGTGAAACTCCACATCCCGCTGCTTCCACGTCTGCTTGTTTCACATTAAAGTCCAGAAAGCAAACTATTATCGATCTCGGTGGTGCTGTTGGCTTCGGTTTTGGAGTTGTAGCTCTGTGCGCTCTCGCAATACGAATGTCTATATCCCCCGGCAACTTTAGAGTTGACTTGAAAAAGTCAGAAACAAACGGTATCATCTCTCTTCCTTCCCACTCTTCTCCCATTCCATAAAGTCTAATGTTATTTCTGCGCATTCTGTTTTCCACATCGTCTTGTTTTGCAGTTAGCTTAGCCTCTTTTTGGAGCAGGTAGGCTAGCGCTCTTTCTTGCCGCGTGCCACGATCTTCACAGCTACTCACTCTGGTTTCCGCAGTGGTCAGCCTCTCCTCCAGCGTGTCGATTCTTTTCTTAATTTCTCCAATTGACGCTTCCATCCGTATTTGAGACTCGATGATGTCTCGCTGTGCGTTTCCAGATTCTTCTCGGACGTTTCGGAGCTCCGTTAGCACTAGCATTTCGCTCCCGGAGTCAGTCTGAGCTAAGCATCTAGTGTTAGCTGCTTTTGTGTTGTCTTCGTATCGTCACTTTTCCCCCTTTAGGGTCTTTTCTGCTCGTCTTTTGTGTTTAGGTCATTATCGTAATATCTTCTGCTTCTATGAGTGGAGATTTATAATCATCACAGGCTGTTTAAGATATATGTTGGTCAGAGCGCACTTTCCAAACGTCTCTACTCGGTCATACCGGAAGTGGGAGTCCACAAATTTGACAATTTTATTTTAGATTTTAAACACACACACACACACACACACACACAGATCTGTATGTATGCATAGCAACACTCACAGAGGCCATAATGCTGCATCATGAATACTTTGAATCATCTTTGATATTTTACTTAAGTACCATTTTTAAAGCACTGTTTTTTGTTTTCACAAATGGAGTATTTTCACTTTGTGTTTTTGCTACTTTTAAGTTAGTGAAAGACTTGAATCATTCCTCAATAATTGACCATTAATTTGTCAGTCTACAAAACTTACATGAATTTGTTCCCTATAATGAACTTAAATGTACATTCACACATCCAGAGAATAAAAGAAATTACACTCAACATTCAATTACACTCATAATTCTGGAGAAATACAAATAAAAGCGCCTCACTTATTATGTTTGCCAACACTGTATTACACATGCAGAAAGGAGACTGAAAACCTTTATCCATGTTTACATTTCAGACCAAGACATTTCTCAGGCTCTAACAGAAGACTGTGTTGTTCTCATTGTTAAGCAAGAGATGAGGGACTAAGGTTAGGTTAAACAAGCATTAAGAGATTGCAAATGCAAACACACTGCACACATTGTTCACAGGTACACATACATAGCAACTACGAGTCACTGCTGACAGTAATGTTAGAATAAAATGCCTCAGCAGCTTGTTTACAGCAAGGTTAGCTGAGCAGATATTGTGGGTAGACAGCTAACAAACTGACACAGTCGGGGAGATTCATCAGTGGAGATAAAAACCCCGTGGAGACGTTTGTTTCAAATCAAAGCACTGACAATCTCAATCTGTGGAACCTGTGTGCAGTATAGCAAAATATAAAAAGTGAAATAAAAGTAGACTGCAAGTTGTTCAAACTATTTAGATGTCTTTGTTTCATAAAATGGTTGAATGTTCTGTTAAATACTGAATTCTGATAAAACACTGCCGACAGGCAGAATTGTATTCAATAAATTGATCAGATTACTACTGTCTTTACTTCCTTGCTGTAATTGATGTTAATTTAACGAATGCCGAGCATTTACAAAAACATAATGCTGGTTTTGCAGAAGTATTAACAATTAATATGCCAGTCATGAAAATATATAATAAGAATAAACAGTCAGGCTAAAGTGTGATAAAACAAGTACACTAACTTGAGTACTGTTACTTCAGTACAACTTCAAAGTACTTGAGCTTTGAGTATTTCCATTTTCCTTCAATACATTTATTTGATAGATATGCTTTACTTTAAATAAAATCTTAAACATATGATCGTCACTATTTATATATTTATGGTTTTTAAAAAGATAATATTATCAAATAGTATAAAAAGTAGAGCTTAAATCAACTGAAAATAAATAGGCAACTATTCTGATAATCGGTTGTTAATGTTTAGGAAAAAAATAAAATTCTCAGTTCCAGCTCCTCTAATGTGAATATTTAAATTATTTTATTTATATTCTCGGTGAAGGACTGTTGGTCGGATTAAACAAGAGTTTGGATTATATCAGCTTGGGCTTTGACAAACTGATAAGTATAATTCATCATGTTGTGACATTTTCTAGTCAAACAATAAATAAATAAACCAAAAGAACAACCGCCTACAACATTACAAAGCCTCTTGAAAAGACCAGGGTATGGGATTTAGGAGACTCTAAAGGCAGGAATGGAATACAATACTTAGAATTATGTTCTTATTAGTGTATAATTGCTTGTAACTACAAATCGTTGTGTTTTCGTTTCTACAGGAGGAGCAAATCCTCCTCCAAGTTGGCCTGCCATTGCTATTGTAGGTTCTCCGACACATTTGTAAAGAGAGGGATGAGGGAGATGCTTATATTCCGTAAATTCATAGCTTAGTGCCACTAAATTACACACACCGGTCCTCCAAATGTTTACTGACAATCTAATAATCTAAGATATCATAATACAACACTAAGAGAAGTCCTGCAATTGTTCTTATATTTAACATGAACAGGACGACGAATGCAGGACTTTTACTTTTAATGAGTAATTTTTGCATTGGTGCATTTCTACTTTTGCTCAAGAAAAAAGTCCTTTTCCCACCACTGCTGTTTAGTATTTCTAGTATTGAAAAGAATGAAACTATAAGAGGTAGTGAAGACCCATTCTGGTTACTTAGCAGTATAAAACTCAATGTCATTTTCTTCATTCTTCATCTTCCTGTTCATCCATAATTCCTGTCTGTCTCCAAAATCACATAAAGACAGTAAACCAGTGCCATAAAAGTTGTGACAGCTGGCCCGGCCACTAGAGAGCATCAGACCACTGCTTTGATTTAGTATGATAATATATTATAAACAATTAATTCTGCAATAAAGATGTATTTTTTTCCCCCTCCAAACTGTCCCAGTTCTGCCAGCAGTCTCTCATTCGCATTCACATGCTCAGGGATGTTTATACAAACTTTTGATGTTCACACTTTTCCCCAATGCCCTGCAGTTTACTGATGGCAGCAGACAGCAACGACAAAAACAACATCTGATAACATTCTCCCACCGCTTCATGCTGGATTGATGGACCATGTTATGGCAGCAGTGCATCTCTGCAGGTGTTTGTGCACGGTTGGAGGAATGCTGTTCATTTAAGACTGGCTCCAGCACTTTTTGTCAGCGAGGCAGAGACTTCTGAAATGGCTTTCATCCCATTTTGGATTTACAGAGGCAAGTTAACCGGGTTTCATCTGCATAACAATGAACAGAACTGTTGAGAGGGATTGGCACAGTGAGTCTGAAGCAGCTGAAAAGAAAAAAAAAAAAAAGAGTCAGACAGAGATGAGAGAGGCTGAGTGGAAGGTACAGAACAGCGTGTTAATCTGATGGAGGGCTGGTTCACTGATAGCAGTCACACTTTATCCCCAGTGTGATGGAGAAAGGATAATTACATAGAGAGCCAGGACTACAAATGCACAGTATTTTCAGTCAAATGTGTATCCTTAAGCAGCCATCTCGTTTCACGGTCAGCCCAGCAGCTTCCTGGATGGAACTGCAGCAATTTGGGAAACTAGTGAATAATATTTTTCCAGAAATTAATCATTACACTTTCCCCCTTTACTTTTCTAATGTATATTATTGATATTAATATAAATAATACAATTATTAATGAAAAAATATTATTACTAAAAGTTGCAGAGAAATCCCAAGCTAACAGACCTTCCTGCCTAGTTGCAGTTGCTAAGGGGCGGGATTTAACTAAGGGTTAGAGCAAATTTGAATTTGCTTGAGTGTATGAAATTAAAAACCATTAAAATGTTCTCTACTCATTTATTCCTTTACTTACATTTAACCAGAATCGGGTCACATTGGCAGCAGGCTAAGCAGGGCATTTTTGAACATCCAGCTCCCCGACAACTTTATCCAGTTCCTCCTAGGAGATCCGAAGGTGCTCCAGTCCAAGCGAGGTATGTAAACACTCCAGTGGATTATGGGTCCACCCCAGGATCTTCCTCTAATTGGACATGCCTGAAAAACCTCCGAAGGTAGGAGCCCAGGAGGACTCCGAATCAGATTTTAATCACTTTAGAGGCAGTGACTCTGCTCAAAATTCTCTCAGGGTGTCTGATGTCCAAGTTCCCTCAGGGTATTTGATGTCGAGCTCCCTTTAGGATGTCCAAGGTCTGAGCACCTTCAAGATGCCAAATGTCTAAGCTCCTTCAGGATGTCCAGTGTCCAAACCCCTTCAAGACGTCCAATGT